TCTATTAAAGAATCTTTTTTCCCCACGAGACTTTCAGATCAAAATCAATTCATTTCTTCACAATCAAGTAATTTATTTGACAAGTTAAGTAAACAGAGCTATTTAACACTCTCATTTCCAGACCCTGATTCACTCTTAAGCCTCTTTCGTGAACCCCACTCATTTTCAGTATCCTTGGTTCATGTTTGAATAACTGAATATTAATTGAAGATTAATGACTTCAACAAAGATAACACTATAAGCATCATTTTGTCAAAATTTAAAGTTTGTTCCAACTTTCCAATGTCTGTGGCAAAGATTAGCCAAGAGCACCTGTAAATAAGAAAGTGTGCAAAAGATACTCAATGACTGCCTATTAAGGTAGAGCCAAGGCAGACAAGGAAGGGTAGTTAAAACATTCAATGGTAACAACAAGAACCAGAACACAATGCAAAAGTTGACTAAAAAGTTGAACATTCAAAAAAGCATAGGGATAAAATAAATAAACTTCAATTCTAACATCTCATGGACATTTTCCTTTAAAGCCCTAGTGAGAAAGGTGAAAGCTTTCTCTTATCAGGGGTCTCCACCTAGTCTTTCTGTCCAGTCCAAGAAAGTACAAGAACAGTTTTACCAAAAGTATGTTTTTTTTTAAGCTAAGAAGAGACCATAATAAAATAGCCAAGAATTTGATCAACATGTACTTAAAATAATGCAGCGCTATACTTTAAGCTAGCACCTAGCTTTTCTCTCTATTCTCTCAAACACCTAGAATTTCCCCTACAAAGCTTGCTATCTTTTCAAGGTTTTTTTTAGATATACTTATGTGGTCGCATAAAGAAGGCAGATGAAGCTACAGTGCAACATAAAATAAATTGCAACTCTATTAAGTCAACATAACCGGGTGAAATACACAAATAGGACAGACTTGGAAATTCACGAAAGTCAGCTAGTATGACCAAATGCTAAAAAAAAGATTATTTGAAACAAGATGTCGTTCCTCCAAAAGTTGAAGTTGCACCCAAATAAAGAAAGGATCAGAAAAATAGAAAATTTAATATAATAACAAAATTAGAGAGGCCAAAAATGATTGTACTCCTTTTTTTTTTTTTTTGTTCTAAATATTCCTGCCAAGATAATCAGGACACGGAATGAGCACTCAGACAGGATAACAACATTTCAGAGATGTGAAATTAATTCTTTGCATGAGTACAGAGAATTAATTTCACTCTAGACAAGAAGCCTTTTTTGATGTGTCTTCTGTAAAAGGCGGTCCTGCTTTATAAACCTTGAGCTCTTCAAAGGTGTCAGCAAGTATTCAGATAAGGGTGATCTGGGTAACACAGGCTGCTTCTCATTTCAAAAACTACTGGCAAAGACCCTCACCAACAACATTTAAGGAAAGTAGGCAGCCACTGGTGAAGAGTTGTGGCATGGTTAAATAACAGAACAAAATACAGTATGATCAGAGGTATGGAAATGGTTTCCACCTGAGTTGGTTTTCTGTGATAGAGCGCTACAAATTCACAATGGACATGAACAGACGGACTGTTCATTGCTTCTTCCCACACATGCATAAAGTGATCAAATTAAGAGAATGGGAACCAGAAACCTTTTCTTCCTTACCAAAGAGCAAGAAACATTCCTTTTGGCAGCTCCCTTCTTGCTAATAGATGCTGTCATGCAAGAGGGTTACATGAAGAGACTAGAAAAGTAGTCGGAAGAAGGGAATTTCCTTTAGGGTTGCTAATCTGACAAACACAAAAAAGTGCAATAAATATGTCTTCAAAAAGCTTGAATTTAGCAATACTCGGATAATTCTGATAAATGAAAAGAAAGTCTTTACTAAGGCTGTCCTACACTGATGTAACCTGTTGCATAACCAGCTGAAATCAGAAAGCTGGCATATTTGAAGAACACTGCAGTAAGGTAAAATATTCACATGTTGACAGTTACAGAGAAAGAGGTAATTAATGTAAGGATGGAATGAGGATACTATAGTTCAGTGCTTTATCATTGAGACAGCCACTACTACACTGATGCCATTTAGTCTTTAGAAAGATTTTCTTTTTAGGTTTAATTTTAGAAGCTTGTAAATTCATTATATTTCTAAGGAACACTAAACTCTTGGATAAGATTATAACCTATCTGTTAAACACTGAGGAGAAGAAGTTGTCACTTTTGGTCATTCTTTATGTGGATTCTAATGTTGACCATTGAATGAAGAAAATACTAATCAAATCAAATCAAATCATAAGGTCCATCACACTACAAGCATTTCTCTCTTGGTGTACTTGTTTACACTCTTATGTGGAACGTAATCTCTCTAAGACAACTCTTAGCAAAACAATAACATTTGTAATAACAGCAAATTCTACTGTCCGAGTCCCTGTTTCAAAAAGGTTTTCACATTAAAAGAAAAGAGCAGAGATTCCTTGATACTGTTATTGTTAATTTAATCATTAGTGATCATTGAAGACAATGACATGATGCATGTCAAACTAACAGTTGATGGTACAAATGACTGCTATCAGGATAACTCATAGGCTGTTATGTGGCCTACTATGTGATTCATGGATAATTTCTGAACTGTGAAAAAAAATGACTGTCAAACCCATACATGGTATTAATACACCTTACTGTGGCAAGTCATTATTAGTAACTTGGTGGCATTACTATACCTATTTCCAGTAAGCATAAGCAAGAAATACTGAACATACCCGCAGAAGCTAAAAATAAAACAGAATTCTATATCCACTGCTGAAGTAAACTGTTTACTAAATATCTATTATTACATTATAACACATAAAATGACAAACTGCCAGTTTGGCTTACATTACAGTACTTTTAAACAATAATCAAGAGTTGGCAGAGAGCTAGGTAAGTGCTCGTTTACTGCATTTCATATAAATCTAAAGAAATAGATGTATGGCAGGTTGTCCTAATCTAACTTCTCTTGGCTCATACTGGATTGTTCCTTTCTGCCCCATGCATGTTTTGGCATATTTTCCAAGTCTAGACTGAAATGTCTGGAACAGTTACAAACTGATTATCATACTGATAATTTCTTCTCCACGTGTAAGGAAAAGAGTACAAGATCCTGACAAGAGATGAAGGGGCAGTGAGAAGGGTCTATTCTGAATTATCTTTTATATGGAAAGAATCTTGTAAGATTACAGCAGTCACTGTGCAAAGTTGCAGGAGTGGACAGTGTTTCAAGGATACGTTTAAATAAGAAACATGACTTCTCCAGATTAACGTTGCAGAAAGTCACTTAAATATATCACTGTAGTCATTTACCTGCAAGCTCTGATCAATGTAAAAGAAGTCACCTCATGTCACTTCACATGCCAGTGTTGCATTCTTCTCTACAAAGCATTACATTTTCTTGTGGGTTCCCCCCCCCATTATCATTACATATACAACTCCCGTTGTAGTAAAAGTGCAGCAGGGGTGTATTTTTCAGAATTTACATCAGCCTCTTAGTTTCTTCAAGGCCTTGAGAAGTGATCAAATAACTTTCTTATTGCCTTCATCACATGTCATTACTGAATCTGAAGGACTGATCCATCCATCAGCACTTTTCAAGTAACTAAACAGAGCATAACCTTAATTTTGACAGGAGAAAGAAACTATTAATGTGTATGACAGAGAAGTACAAGATTATCATTATATTGAGGATTAGAGAGTCATCTGAATATCTATTTTATAAAACTTTACACTGTTGCAACAGATCTGCAAAAGCCTTAAGAACGTACAACTAAAAATCAAATTATGTGTTTATTATAATGATCCTATAGTACTTCACTTTATGTTGCAATTTAATTATTTTATTTACGCAAATAAGGCCCCCAATGCTATTGCACTCAAGAAGTTAAACACTTGACATTTTTACTCCTTAAAACGCAACATTTTATGATGGCTAGATATGTTTATTAATTAGTGATTATTAACACCCAGTAAACAACATCATGTCTTGTAAAAACACAATCTTTCTTCACAGCGTGAGGCTGAAATCTATTATTCACTGATTCCATATGCTGAAATACACTCAAATGATCACAAATGACCTTAAGCATTAGATAAATGTAAATGAGGACGGGGCAGAAAATGTGATTTTGATTGATATCTAAAAGACCAGGTTTGAAGTCTTGACAAGGGATGAAATCTGAAATTTCACATAAAGTACATGGCAATTGGAAATCTGCAACATCTAAGCTTCTGGATGGATGTACCACATAGATTCTCCTCAGCAGGGATGAGATCTGAGACTGCTCACAAGAAGCATTCAGCGCATGGAACCTGAAAGACCATTCCTGGGGCCTGTGTGACCTTTGTCTACTTGGCAGGTACTTATTAGGATGCAGAGATATATCTCTAAGTTATATGCACGTAGACCCTAATGAAGGCAGAATTTTTCTAACCCTAAGTGCTCACTTAAAAGAACTTCTCCACACAAAACGGCTGCATAAGCATAGGGATAAATGATGTGAATGATAGCCATTAAAATTGTATGGGTTTAACCCTCTATGTTAATAACCTTATTCTGCTGTAACAGCTTGCCTTTCTCAGCCCTTTTCAGCTCTACTTCTGTCACTTTGAGAAGGCCTGAGAGCCTTTTTGGAATTAGAATCATCCAAAAAAATAAAAGGAAGATTCAGATACACAAATAAGAGTGCACTATTGGCTCTTAGGTGGCCACTTCAAAGCATATTCTAATTCTTAACCTTATACCATGAATATGAAGCCCTTTACAACTTTCAATAGTAGAAGACATGAACACACTTCAAATGTTCAGCTGCTCCCAGTCCATACAGTACCTGGAGGTGCCTTAATGAAATACACAGTTAAACAGCTAACCTCAGTGGCACCATCTACTGTAGGGTGGGTCAGGAAGAGTTCTGGAAGTTACCTGAAACTGAACTCTCTGAACCTCTACACTGCTCACCCTCCAGAGCATGCCTGGGGGTAACTTGGAGACAACAGAGCTGGTGCACTATGACACAAATTCTGGGTATGCCCTGCACCCTAGGACACATTCAATGAGAGAAGGGCCGCAGCACACTGTGTCTGGTTCCCACACTCCCCCCGTCTGTCCTTGCAGTGCCAATACAATACTGACTGCACACACAGGGTGACCAAAACACCTCCCATCGATCCTCCAACAACACCCACCCCAAGGGCAAATGGGATTTGTTCCCAGCCTGAATTCTCAGAGCTATTTAAAATGAAACCTGCCAGTCATTTAGGTACATTCATCCCAAGCTTCATACTCAGGACAATGAGTAATGTTGACTCTGAAGCAGCCAAATTTCAACCATGCAGTTAACCACAGCTTGAAGAGACACAGTATATGTTAAAAAAAATACAATGGAGAGCTTATGTCACCAAGATTAATAATACTGCATTTGCTATGTGAAAAAGCATTTTTTTCAATACTTCCAATACTTCTGTCTTGCATCACTTACCCATTTGTACATACATGATGTCAGCATCAGTGGTGTAGGTCACAATTTCACACTTTTGAACATGTTTCACATTAAATGCACAATGACATGCAAGAATCAGTAAGAGCTTAGTAGAATCTTACCAGCTTGATATTTTCTGAGCCTTAAATACTCCTGCATTTTGGTTTCTTGTGATGATCTCATTTACATCTGCAGCATATTTGTTAAGAATTATCTACAAAATTGGATCAGTAATAATAATAATAATAAATACTTTTTTTTTCCATTGCTAATACCTTCGTAATGTCTTTTATCTGTTTAGTCTTCTTTAATCTGTGTGAAGAGTCAGTCTTTTTTCAGACACATAAATTTTACATTGCCACTCCAGCACATCAGACATATATATTGCTACAGCAACTTGCTCTTGTTGCCTATCTCCACTGTTTACAGTTAAGGAACTACTAGTCCTGTAGCTATACAGGGAATTGAAAAAGACTTCCCATACCTTATATACATTTAAAGGCAACTGTTGCTTACAAACTTAAGAAATCCAACACACAACGGGAACACCTTAACCTGTAGGCAAGGGAGTTTCTAGTCCATTTGCTTTCTTGAGAATGGTTTGGAACCACCATAAAAGACAGTGGAAAGCAATAAATGCCTTTTCTTCCCCATAGGTACTGCAACAGTGCCTCAGCCTCATGTCTCAGCTTCTGTTAGTTTGGAAGATGAGGTAACAAATTTAGGTACCCATTCAGGCAGGCCAAAGCAAGTGCTGTCAATGAAGAGTTTCAAGGGAGGCTGTGCCAAATCATCTATGCCTAGAAAGATAACCTTCATAATCATTAGTGGTTAGCAAGATGCCATTGGAAGGAAAAGGTGTAGCAAGTAACTAAAAGTTGTGAGAATACTAAATGTCACCCAGTGTGAATCCATACATATTTAAACTATTCGTTCTCAAACATAAAAAATGGTCTCAAATGGACAATTTTGGTAAAGGTGTCAATATTTAAAGAAATCTGATGCTAATTAGAAGATGTTTCTGGGTGCTCAAAATACACTGAATTCTTTGCAAGTGTTTTTGTAAGAAAATGGACCACTAGTGTCAGGCTCATTTAAAATATCACTGTATCTTTCTACTTTGTTGAAATCACGTATCTGGCCTTCATAACACAGCTGACTATTTAAGGAAAGTTATTTTAGAAAAGCCTCTATCCAAGCAATGTAAAAGGAAAGACAACTGATATTTCATGAAGCCAAAAACTAGAAATGGAATGACACAAAACTCGTTTAAACAAATCCCTGTGCTTTGGACGTGCCTTTTAAATCTTTTCCACAATATGCAATGAGAAGTTGTAATGAATAGCCTATACCTGTGAAGCAAAAGGAAGGCATATATAATTCCATGCTTTGCTCGTTTTAAGAAGAGTCAGAAGTAACACTGTTGATAAATTAGCTACACTGCACTTAAATTTTGCAACCGAGACAAACTATTAATAATTGTTGTAAACATGTTAACACTAGCTTTTTAAAATGATTTATGAGCCCATGTGTTCAGACATTCAGGCTGAACATGACCTTTCTAACCTGAATTTCCCAGGACTGCTGAAGGATGCATACACTATATCTTAATGGTCGTTATAGGGCGCTGCAACAACATTTTGTATTGTTGATGCTTTCAGACAGTAGTTCAAGTCACTAGTGCATAGTGTGAGACAGAGCGAAGGGAGAAGGTACACAGCTTCTCTGAAATAGGAGACAACTTTTACTACAAATGAACCTCATCCTTGGATTTGGATGTACAGCTGCTTCCAGTGTCCTGAGGAAACAGAATTTGTTGTTCATGACTATCTGATAGATATTACCTAAGCTGGAAAAATGTATCTGAATGTATATCACCCAAAATCACAAAGAAGAATGAATCTGATAACTCTGCCTATGCATATCTTTATTATTCACTTGAATATTCACTGTATTTTTCTTTTTAATACTTTCTTTACCTAAATGATCCTGAAAGATAAAACACACTAAACCAACAATGAAGTTTGGAATGAAGCTGAAAAAGCAGTAACATCTGTCTTTATTTTATTGATTTTGCAATATAAATGATCTATTAATCAATTAAAACCTGGCCATGATAAGCACAAGGAGTGAGTTCCAGTGAAGTCTTTTAAACGGATTAGTAACTCAAATAATAATATCCTTCTAAAAACTTCCATAAACCTCATGCATAAGACCACTGATTGATATAAAATGCAGCTACAAATTTCACAGTGAAATGGTTAAAATGACAACAGTGAGTTTGAAATGAACGTATTCATAAAATGTTTTATCTTGTAGTATTTCAATAACATATCCTAATGCAGATATTGAAAACATATATAGTGAAAGCTTCATGTGGCAGTAAGAAATGGAGAATAATATGAAGAATGTCAAAAATTAAAAGAAAAATCAAACCCTCAAAAGCCTGAGACTTCACAAAGCAAAGCTGTTAGTTATGCTCACTGAATAGCGATAACAACAACAAAAACAACAATAATTATGATGATGATGATAATACAAAGGCAGATTCTCAGATGCAATGCACTATTGCCAGGTCGATTTTCAATTACATTTCACTGATGTATTCATTTGTTTCTTAATGTGCTCATCTTGCCCATTAAGAATAATTAGCAGGCTTGCTTGTGATTTCCTGGCTTCTGACAGTGATTTTTTTTTTCCTTTTTGTTGACAACCACTTTTACTTTTTGGAAAGTAATTTTTGGGTATTATAGTATGACTGGCATGTAATTTAAGCTTCCTAAGAAATTTAAAGGCAAGATGTAAACAGTAATTTTTAAACAAGATTATTTTAATCTATAATACCTACATAAAAAGCATAATACTAGGCATTAACTATTCCTGAAGAGCAAAATCTAGAAAGGAAAACAGTGTTTTATCCCACGTTAATTTAATTTGGTATGCTAAACAATTAAAAAATACTATCAGAAATAATAAAAATTAGCAGAAATGCATCATTTTGGTCTGTGACATTTGGGGGCAAATATTATTTCCAATTATGCTAAAAATTCTTACTGTTTTCAGTGAGTATGGCATGGCTGGAACAGATCTAAATTTAGCCTAAACTGTTATAGCCAGTTACTACAGAAAAGAATGTAAAAGAAAATTACTGTAAGACATCATAAAATCACTACTGAGGTTCATAAAACACACAAAATGCAAGATAAATTTTATTACGTGCACTTTTAGGCATACATTGCACCTACAGTGTAAACTTCTTAGTCTGCTGCACTTTGGCACCCTGCTAATATTAAGCCCATTGTAAAATCCAACACAATAAAAGCACTTTGAATGCTGAGCCTTCAGAGCACCAAATGTTAAAAAAGAAAAATAAATTCCTGTTAGAGCCTTCCACCAATCGTTCTTCTGAAAGGGATTCACTGGGTGAATACAGATGAAGAGTTCTTGTAAGACTTTTGTAAATAAAAGATATTCCTAAAACACACTGTGAAAAACTAAAGGTGTGTTAATTAGAGGGCATTAACAGTATCTTTTTCAGGAATGAAAGGACTTTAATTTGTTTCATTCCAAAGACTGAGTGAATACTTTTAGCACTCGCCAATTTTCCTGGCTATAGAAGGCTTCTAAATTTCAAAAAAGTTCAGGTATGTTTATGGAATCTGCTATGCAAGATATGTGCCGACTTGATGATTACTGAGCTCACCTGAAGCTTTCTGTGGGTAAAATGACCTTTTGTTCAATACCTGTCCTTCTATAAAACAAGGGTTTGTTTTGTTAGGCTAGTTTTGAAATGCTTTTTTCTCCTACATTTTTTAACTTCACAATGACACAGAAGAAAAACTGGAAGGGGTGATGCTGATTAAAATACACAGAATAATGAATACTTCCTCCTCCAGACAGGAGTACAACAAACTAGAATTTAACACAACTAGAATCCCTGGACCGCAAATGAGAACTTGCATTTTCAAGAAAAAGACATCTATAAAAGCTTCCTTCAAGTTTTAAAAGATACGATCTAGACTTGGACATTTTTCCATCAAATTGTTACAGTGTTGTAAGTAATTATAGTTACCTCGGTTACCCCAAAGAACGTCTTCTTAAAGGCAGTACCTAACCCTACCACACTTAAATGCCTCCCATTTTAAGTCAGCAAGTGCGATTTAACTTATTTTTTTTCACTAAGTACTCATTAGCTCTCAAATACACACAAAACTCAAATCTAAATAATTCTGATGATGCAGTGGCCAAAACCTGAAAAACTAGTGTCCCTTAAAATACAAATGGAAAGATTACCAAGGAACAAAAGCAAATAGATATCATCCTTTTTTCCCCTCTCTGTTTCTAAGGGCTATTAGCATTCACTGTATATATCTGTTCTTGCTCTGTGCTGATATTTAATGTAGCCACAAATTATGCTCACTCATTCTCTTGCTTAGCCAAAGTCTAGTTCAATTTTCTGAACTACGTGTTCATATTAGAAGGGCATAATAGCAATTTATTCTAATGTAGGAAATCTAATAAAATACTTTCTACAAGGGACAGAGCAGTTTTACAATCTTACATCAAGAGAAACAATGATAAATTGATAATTGATTAAGCACACTAAATGGGTAATTTGTGGGCAGTTATAACTTCGCAGCAACAATGAAGCCACGCATTTCAATATACACTGGATAAGCTATGACAATATACAAATACTGGCTTTAAGAGGCTAGTATCTGAAAGTAAAAAAAAAATAGAATATAAATCCAGTTCTGAAAAATGGATATATGAAGGGGAGCTAATGGCTTGATTCATTGCTATACCTCCTCTAACGTGAAGCATACACACTAGGAATCTTTCAGCACTCAACCACAAGACAAATATTTACTACTGTACTTGCTCTATACCAACACGTACATTTTTAATTAAAGAAGAAAATGTGGCATTTATTGTGAGGGAAGCCGTAGCTCTGTTCAACATATTCTACATCTATTTTTTAATTACTTATTTGAGGACTTTTTCTTAATATACCCCATGCTGTCTGTCTTTATATTGATTGTTACTCAGCCAGTAAAAAGGAACGAGCACAACAAACCAGTTTTCTATCTGAATAAGGATACTTTTGATGGCCTTTTCATTTCCATCAGTTAACAGAACTTCTTTGACATCTGCAGAAATAGCAACCTGAAAAAAAGAGCACAGCAAACAATGAGCAAATATGCTTGTCTGTGTGGAAGTGAAGACAGGAGTGACAAGCCTTCAGTATCATGCTTCCTCACCTATTTCTCTGTAACAATCTTCAATCTTTTTTCATTTTATGTCTGCATTATTTTAATCATTCAATCAAATCAGTCAATACTTTTATCATTCCATTTGCGGGAGCCTCTATCTTGCTATCATTCTGTTCCGTAATTGCATTGTGACAGCCGATGATGGTATTCTGAGAGGCTTTCATTTGCGGGCTTCTGTTTATCTAGTAGAGCCATCATACAAGGCTGTCACTCTGCCTTTCAGCTTGCTTCTGTCTGACTGCCTGATGCCCTTCATATAACTTTGCATTGCAGGCAGATGGCTTTGTAAGGGTAATTTTTTTGTGAGCTTTGACATGCTCGCACATTGGGCTGTAACCTCGACACATTGTATAAGAGCGACAGGTTTGTCAAATGCCAATCAGTGTAACAATATGCTTTTATTTGTAGAGACATAAAAACTTGTCTAATGCACTGCACTGCTACATAATATCTCCTGAATACATGACTCAGAACCCAGAGAATGGTGAACGACTCTCCTGAATGGCCAATCTAATTCAAAAGAATCTAATTACCGAGAGCTCTGGATCATGTTTGTTGGTGTAATAATGCAGGCAAAACATTAGCAGCTATATCATGGTGCTCCAACTGTGATTCGCCAGGCTATTCCTGTATCTTAGCAAATGGGACTATAATCTGAAAAAAAAAAATGCTTCGGCTATGGCAATGAAAGACAGACCGTACGTGGCCTGGAATGTCACAACAAAAGATATTGACTACACGGAGGTAAAATGTTTCTGCTCATCGAGGCAACCATAAAATCAATATGATACGAAAGCAAGTCAATCTAGAAGGTCTCTCAAGACTCTGCAGCTTGACCGCAGCTGAGGCTGTTGACAGTTCTCTGACCCAGCAGTTGGAGGCACTGGAACATTTTTCCTTTTGTTTCTTCCTCTGAATGGGCTTGGAATTGAGAAAAGACCTACCATGAGCCCAGCCAAGCATGTCATGCCACCCCCTAGCTCACACACAGCAAGGTCCCTGAAAGAGAGAAAGGAAATGGTAGAACCCATACAAATTAGATGAAAATGGTCAGAGAGACATATATGTTACAAGAACAAATTGCCATCTGCAGTAAGAACTGAGCTACCAGGAAGTTGTAGAGACATGACTAGGCTACCTCATGTCGTTTTGCGTTTTAAAAATAATTATGAAATAGAAAAGTCACAAAGCAGGCAAATCAGTGGGGGTTCCCTCATTAGTGTTCAGTGCAACATTACCACCGCTGAGCTGAAAAATCTGAGAAGGTTCCCTTTTTTCCCTTGTCAATGGCTCTGTCTTTTAGAACTAAACTAGCTAGAGTAGCGAAAGATAATTGTTAGGAAAGGATAACAATGTTAATCCACATTCATTCTTGCAAAAACAGTTAGAGAAGTAAATGGGGAAATTAATATTATTTATATATCTCTCCATATAGTTATGCCTAAAAGCCTTTCATATTAAAAAGAGAAAAGTTTTAAAACAAGCCATATACCACAAAACAATTACACATTAAGAAATCCGATCCTTCAATTAGCACTTAAAACTGCAAGTGACCTACAAACAATGCTGTTACGAACAACGATGGGAACAGCAAACAGTTAAGCCACAGAAAACTAAACGAAGTTAGTGTCAAGAGCCTAAACTGAGCCCGAGCAGAGGGTTGAATACATGGTCTGAAAGGCTGCTTTTAACTTAGACCATACTGTGCTGTTATTAAGCCGTGCATCTGAAATATAATTTGGCGCAGAGAGCGTGCCGGATGGGAGCTTGCAGGGGGAGCCACAAAGAATGTCCTCCAGAGCCATGGCCTGCCCCAGGGGAGGAGGAGGGAGGGATGCTGACCCCGCGCCGAAACTGTGTGAAGTGGCATCTGGGGCAAGGCACAGCCTCAGTTTAGGAACATGCTGCTTTATAGCTAAATCTGCGGCAACTGTTACAGCTGGCAGAAACCTCCCCATGGAGACATTTTTGACAGTCAAAAAATGGAATTTAAATGGAATTTCAGCTAACCAGATTTTTTTATTATTATTATTATTTTGGGGGGGGGTACACCTTTTCTTGTCCCCTATAATACCAACATTTGAAAATCAATATTTTATGTTAAAGTCTTACCTCCCTACTCACTCGCCACTGATATTTACGAAGAGCATCTAGGAAGCCATATCAGTATCAGTATACAGATGCTGGCATTTTGTTCACCGAGGCCAGCGGACTAGGCTGTATGACTGTATATTAATGCTTGCTCCCTGTCTGTCTGGAATAGATTTATTTTTTCTTAGACACCACAAATTTCATCTGAAAAAAGTCTAGTTGTCCTATTTAATGGAAATGGGACAAAAGGCATAGTTCAGAGGAACACTCTGTACATAGACCCAATGAGAATATAAAACAGATGTGGGAAATGTGCAGTTTGTGCTTTAAATAGAATGATCATAGCATTTTCCCCACACAAGTTTTTATTTTTCTAAACTGCACACATCATATATATCAAAAATATATGCATATGGTTATATATGTAAGATTTGCAAGCCACTTAATCCTTTATAAGAGTCATGCTTACTGAAATAAACACAGAAAGTATCTAGTGTGGGGGTTTTGGTGCATTTGGAACCAAATTTGTATGTTTGCAATATACATATATACATATATATGTACATATATACATTTATGTGTATAATTCATTTAAGTGCAATCAACACTAAAAAAATAGCAAGTTTTTAAAATTCTATCCTTCTCTCAGGCAACACTTAGTGACATTTATCAAGGAAAATTAAAATCTCATCTGAGTGAACTGCTGAGAAATCAACCGCCCACTTCCTCCATGGAAGTTCGAGTGATAGCTGTCTCCAAGTGTCCAGGCTTGCATAACCAACTAGGAAACTACCCTTTGAGCAAGCAGCATTGAGAGGTTTGCTGCGAAGACCCTCTAAAAAGGATAAGAGCACGAGCCAAAGCATGGGGCTGGACTGCAAAGTATTACAAGGACACCACTACAGCAGCATAAGTCATACATCCACCAAACGCAGAGGAAGGAGCTGCAATTACCAGATTTGGTGTGTTAGCTGCCTCTTTTAATGGGGTGGGCTTTGCTCAGGTGGTGGATGGAGTAGAAATGAACCAGGGTATGCTTTGGTGCCCGGTCTTTGATTTCACACAGGACTCTGAGTAAGCTGCAGGAACCAGCTCACAGCTTTCAGCTTTGGTACAAGAGATGTCTAAGTTATTTTATCAACACTGTATGTATGCAGACTGAGGGATTTTGCATACTCCAAGCTGGTTTACTTGGTATTAGCCTTGCACCCTCACTCAGAACACAATTTTTGCCTCCAAATGCATTGTTGTAATGGCTTTTCTTGCACCCCATTCATCCTCTGGACAATGAAACTTCAAGAATTTCCAAGTGCAAAGCTCTCTATACTCAAGGGGAAAGAGAGAGGATGCAGGGTTGATTTCCTTTTTAGGTGTTCCTACTGGAGCCTCGATAACTGTCTTCCACAAGTTTAGAAAATGTGAAAAGAGAATAGCAAATAAAAGTGCAGCATGTGTCAAAATTGTTTCACGACACTTAGATACAGGTGTAAATTCCTCCACTGCTATGAGCAGTGATTATTATGTATTTTATCAGGTAATATTTTGCTTGCTTTCCCAACAGATGTTAGTTTAAAGAATGCCTTATTTTTCCTGACCTTCACAATCAGTACTGATCGATTGGAGCTTCACTTTTGTTTCCTAAAAATCAAAGTGAAATAAAACGCCTTGAGTGGAAATCAAAAGTCTTTGACATGTAACAGAAAGCTTGCTGTGCAATATTAGTACCCAAAGGCAGCTCAGAATTCTTTGTTAAGAGCAACATGCTTTCACCTTGAACATTTTAAATTTAATGTAAAGACTCAAATCATAGCAATCTTTACCATGCAGATACAATAAAACTAACAGATTGGAAAATATCTTTTTATGTTGAACTCTGTACCTGAATGTTTCATTATGCTTTAGGCAGTAGTAAGCCAGCACTTCCTCAGACGGCCAGAGACCTATAAAACAAAGATATTCACCTTCTTAGAACACTTTCTTATTGTCTAAAGTAGTATTTGAATACATATTACCACTTGCAGACCTCTACCAACTGTTTCGTTTTCTAAACCTGTCATAATACTATGGAATAAAAACCAAGACTTTTAATGGAACATTTCTGATTTAAGCATGGGATCTGAATATTTCATAGATCTGATCCTGAGTAATCAGAATAATTCTAATCAGAATTAGACTTATTCTGTCTTAGACTTATACTGTCAAGACTCTAAAAGTTATATAAAATTTCATTCTACAAAACTTCTGATATTTGGGGCATTCACATGAACACCAGTGATGCTGCCACCCTGCCTTGTAGCCTAACAGTGGATAGGAGCCCCCTACTTTTTCATTAGCTGTCCTTTCCAGTCATTTAATTTCTTTCCAGTTTCTTTTTCATTAGCCCTTTTTCTCTTTGGTTTTGTTAGGCATCAGTCTGACCATAAGGGACACTGACCAGCCACACATGCTAAGGCCAAATACAGGACAAGAGCAATAGTGCAGTATAATTTCTGGTTGTGGCTCCAGAAGTTCCGGTGGGGGAGAGGAGTTTTAAGTTCTGTTTAATAGTTGCCAAAGGATTTTTCTAGTTGCTCTGTGGACTGTGGCAAACTTTCCATAGCTGCAACATCCTACAGCAGGAAGCACCACAGTTCTACAGTGCTGTATAAACACCTCCTCTCTCTTGTTTTGTACTTGGCTCCCTGTCATTTTCATTTGAGGCCCTAGAGCTCTCACATGGAAATAAACAGCAGCAATATTGTTTTTTTGTTGGGTTTTTTTTTTCCCCCATGAATAATCTGTATCATTCACAACTTTATAAGTTTCCATCATAAAACTACACTGGCCATTGTTAGTGTGGCAAGTACTTGGAGACACTGGTCATTGACTTCAAGGCCTCCATGCACATTTACCCTTTCAACACCATTCACTCATGAAATTCACTGTTTCATCAGACTGCTTTCCCACTGGAACATCTAAGTGAACTGCTGTGGCCCATGGAGAGGGCATCACAGATCCTGCATGGCCTGTGCATCTCCTGCAGGCACCAGTCTCCATTGCTGGAGGGAGCCTGGGGAAAACAGGCCTTGCATTCAGGCACTTGAGTTAGGTTTCCAAAGTTAAGGGAGGATAAATGAAAGGCAAATAAAGCCAAATTATGGTTGTATTTGCTTTCCATCTGTTGTTGCCTAGCAATGAAATAACATGCTTACATGTCTATCCACAGGTAAAAAGAAGGGGGAGCCTCCCCCCACAACACACAGCCTTATGAATTAACATGACAGAAACTTAATATTATGAACTACAGACAGTTTTCATAAACTTAAAACAAGTGAGAACATCCTTTAGATATTTCCAGACAGGTAAACTGAATCCCATGCAGCTTGCTATGTATGTGCATCCTTTTTCACGTCCTTTTACTCTCAAGACTTTAAAAACATCTCAACATAGTTAGCAAAAGCAGAAGTTTGAGAGAAAAATGATCTTCCTTCTAAATCACTTAGAGTCTGACTGTAACTATTGAGTGTACAATTGTTCCTTTCCATCCAGTAAGCATTCTAAACTACCCTTACTCACAGTGCTGAATACTTAAAACTTATGAATGTGTTGTCTGCACACAGATCAAGCAAAAGCCTAGACAGGATTTGGCCAAAACTTTGCATAAAACATGTGTGTAACAATAACAGAATAGAGTATACATGACAAAACCACTAAATCAATACTGCTATTTGCCTTATTTATGACAGTTTAGGCTGATTAGGTGTTTGTGAATGTGCCATTTGCTTCGACTTGCTAAGGGTTAAAATAAAATATTCACACAAGACTACCCATTCTTCGGTGAAACATACACTAAGAATTGTACAGGATTTTCCATCTCCCTTTTGAGCACTTCAGTGCTTTTGAGCATTGAAATATGCTAAAATGACAGATTTTGCAATAAATATAATAACTGTTTAAATATTTTAGTGTATAACATAAAGAATGTTTCAGTTTGCAGTGACTGGTGTATACTCAAGCAATAAAAGTGCTATTTTTCGTATTTAGCGAAGACACGGCTAATTTAATACCATTTATAATACTTATATCTCGCTTCACAAAAAACCTCCACGCCCACAAACACAAAAAAACTCAACCCTTTAATAGCAAACTTTTAGCCTGAGCGAGTTTTAAAAATACTTGTCAACTGTAGCAAAATCCTTCAACATCTGACTTTTCAGTACCTTCAGTCAAACGCCTCTTGCTTTTCTACAGTTATTATTGAAAGGGCACTTTGAATGGTGTCACTAAATCTTTTATGTGGGGTCACCATTCTTTCCCCTGCTACTATTACAATGTTGATACCAGCTGAAACTGCAGGTGTGTCAGATAGTTCTGTGCTGAGAGAAGGGTGAAGCACCTTTGGAAAGACAATGTTCTTCTTCAGGCGGATGCCAGGGATGCACAGGATTCTCCTCCCTGCTTCCTTCCCCCATAGGAAAGGAAGTATCATCTCAGCAATGATATAAGTGGCTGGCAGCTAAAGAAGCAGGAGTCAGGAGGTCTTTCATGAACACAGGTCTCAATTGCTTCCACGAACTCTATGAACAAACACACAGTGCTTCCAGCTAAGCCAGGAAGCCAGAATACCTGTGTTAATTTTAGTAAAAGGAAAAGCTTCTCGTGCTTGAACAGGTAGGTAAGCCTCTTTACCTTCAAAACAGGGATAAGCTTAAAGATCCATGTGGAGGAGTTTGCATTCTGTCTTCTTCCCCTTCACTCTGACCCACATTTACCAACACAATGACCTACATTTTGAAGTTGCAAGTACAAGATAGTTCTGCTTCTGTTAGAAAACATACAGCTGGAATGCAGCAATTCCTATGAGTTAACAACTACCACTAGGTTGTGAAAAGCGTAATTTATTTCCTGCAAACACATACATATGGATATGGATTAAGTTTCCCTTGAACACGTTTAAAATAATTCTTTCATATTTAAAATAAAATTATTCCCATTTTGTATTATGAATTTGATTATACATACATAACATTGGACGGGTACCTATTTGCATGTGCGACTACTTACATGCGACAGTCAATTATTTACATGAGTATAGGCAAAAGAATACCAAAAGGCCTCCAAATATTGCTTATATTTAAAAGGCTATAAATATACCACAAATCCTAGAAAGAGGGACTGAAAATTTCACTGTAGAAGCAGACAAACAAGAGTTTCTTTTTGCAAAAATGAGTATTTTGCAGAATTTACTGGAGGTTTTAAAGTTCTTTATCATCTCAACTACAACATGAAAACAGAATAATTGCTAGAAAACACTGGAACCTCTAGTAAAACAAATAAGTTGTGTTGGTGTTTAAAGGAGAGCCTCAAGAAGGACTGTGATTTGGCATGTCTGAAGACACAGGAGAGAGGCTGTGCTCACAGAGTAATGCCTGCCTGTGTTTCAATTCTTTGCAGATATCCTTTCACCATGAGGATAGAGTAGGAGATCCACCACAAATGCACCATTAGAGCGATGATGTGTACTTCCAGACAGCTTCGTATTTACTACAGTAGTAGGGATAGGAAAACATTATCTCTAAATAGCATGATGATGGATGGAGAAATACTATATATGCAGAGGCATACAAAATGTAGGCATTTCTACAGCCCTACCATAAAATCTTACCACAGTAATGGAATCTACCTCACAAGAACTTGATGACATAACGAATATCCCAGTTTAGCTCATTAGCAGCCAAACTAATAGACAGAGACAGATTAAGTAACTTAAACAGAATGAAATTATGGGAAGGCCAAGTAAAACACCTGATCATCCTAATACCTTGAGGTATGATGTAAGCTAAAAGACACCCAAAATTTTCCTGTAGAGGAAACACTAACAAAAATCCCAATAATGCTAAGAGCACATACATTAGGTTGGTTTTATTACTCTTACAGCACTTGCTAATGGAAAGTGTCAGGTCCTTCTGCACTAGCCACAGCAAAACAGTTCTTTGAAGCAACCTTCAACCCACATGAACTAAATCATGTGTAGAAAGCACTGTTTTAACCATAAGCTGGAGCATGAAATGTCCAAAGAAATAAAAAAATCTGATTCTTCCGCACCAAATATAAAAATGCTGAATTCTGTATGATATTACAGAGACTTTTTTAGTACAAATTAATTATCCAGTATTCAAAAAAATAAATAAGGTATTACTGTTTCTTGTCTGTGGCTTTTTACCACATATTTAAGGAATGCTGGAACCCATTTGGATAACAATGTTGAGATCTGATGTGAAGTTCTTAAAAGATACCATCTTATTAGAAAATTCTCAGGATAGAGTGCTGAGAGTTTTGAGATGTGTCTTTTTAAAGAAGACATTTGATTATTGGATCTACTGTGTGTCTGCATTGCTCCATAGGTACAAAGAAGTCACAGTAGCTACTGATTACATTAACCGGGACAGCGTATCAGTGGAACTGTTGTCTACTGTCTGCCAACGCTACACACAGGAAGCCAAGGGGCAACTGGAGCTGACAGGTGAACAGTCACCTTGAAGCTCTGAGTAGGAGGTGTAAATCTGTCTTACAACTACTTCACTCATGCTACAAGATTAGGAAGCTCCATTCCAAGCTAAGCCAAATTGAAAGTTTTGTCACTTTTCCCTAGCAATTTACATGGTCACATGTACAGAGGTCTGACCTCAAAATGCAAATTTTGTCTTTCATTTTCATTGTTAAACTATGAGATGTCTTCCTGTTCATTTGAAGTTTCAAGTAAAGTTTTTAAAAATCCTATCTTAACTCTCAAAAGCAAAGACAATTTAAATTTGAAAAGTCAGTCATTTTCCCCAGATGAATATTCTCAAAAAGAACTTTTTTTTTTCTACTATGCCCTGATTCTTGACTACATGAAATCACCTTATTTGCTTTAATACTCATCGAAGCGAGATGAAAAAAAACCACATTATGGGCAAAG